GGGGGTGCACGTCACGGGAGGGTGCACGTCACGGGAGGGTACACGTCACGCGGGTGCGCGCGCCCCGCCCTAGTGTGAGCGCACGCTTCGGCGAGGCTCTCGCCCACCTGCGTGGGTGCTGGTGCGGGGGGCACGCGCGTGCGCGCCCCTCAAAGGTGGGTGCGCAGGCCCACGGGTGTGCGCGGGCTCGCGTGGAGGCGGCCGCAGCCATCTCACCCCGTGCCTCCACGGAGCAGCCCACGCACCACCCCACAGCACCCCACGGGCCAGCTCGCCAAAGGCCGTGGGTTTTCCTGCACATCTTCCGCTCTCCTCCCCACAACCACGTTCTCTCTCTCCTGCCTTCGCCCATCCCCGGTTCCCTTCCCCGCTTTTTTGGGCGACTCGTGAGCTCTGCTGCCGTGTGCTGAAACCCTGCCGGGTTGGCACGCGTGGCCTGTGAGCGCTGGTGGAGGTGGTGGGTGACGCCAGTGGGTGGGACTGTAGGCACGGGGACTTGGCAATTTTCACAGTCTACTGGTCAAACAATTGAAAATTTTAAGTCCTAAAGTGAGCCCTTGAAAGCTGAATGCTGTCGTTTTGCAATGTTGATGCTGCTTCATTGGGAACACACTGTACTTCATTATTGCGCTGTAAACAGTGCTGACTTACCAATTTGTCTTCATTTTATTTCCAGAGTAGGCTTACTTTGCACTTTGGAATTAATTGATTTTTTTGGACAGTGCTCCTTTTTTCCTCCTTCTGTTCCTTGACCTAACCTCATTTTTTCAATTTTGCCTTTATTATTGGCTTTGATTTTGCTCCAGTGTTTAAGCAGTACTGTTTGAGTAGCACTCCTGCAATTTGAATCTGTGTCAGCGTATCCCTGCATCGGGATGAAGGCCTGTAGATAGCTGAGGGGGAAGCTCACTAGTTGGAGTTTCATTAGTTTCGTTACATTATCGGTGTGCATTGTATTGATGTTACTGGTATCCACACAGAGATTTGGTTGTGTGATCAAAGTCTTAGCTGATGGTGTGGTTTCCACCCTAGCTTTGTAGTCTTTAAATAATAAACTGAGGCTTTCTCTTCCAGGATGTTTGTGCTCTGCTTGCCCAGGCCTGTCAGCTGGTTCACCTTGATCAGGAACATCTTGTCAGCAAAGTTTGTCAGCTTATCCATCACTTGCTTAACAGGTTTCAGGTATGAAAAGTTTGGCCTTGTCCCTCTTTTCCCTGTGTGCTGGGTCCCTGGTCCCCCACTAAGCTGGGGAGGCCTTCTGTCTTTTTACGGGGCTATGGAGCCAACCTTCATGCAGAGTTTCTCAGATTTTCACTGTATTGCTTATTTATTCTTAGCTGAGGTTCTGATCTGTGGCTCTAGCATGGTTCTTCATGTAAGAACGGCTCTCGGTCAGAAGTGATATGCCATCGGAAATACTCCTGGTTATAGGACACCTGTGTTGATTTATCCATTTCTTAAGTGTCAGCTGATTCTGTGACAGTGTGCAATTTTAACAGCCAGATCACCCGAGTCTGTAACCAATATATCTGCATATCTTGACTCCAGCAGTACATGATGATGTTTTCTTGACCACAGTCCTTTTCTGTTACAACAGGTGATGGTCGATGAACAGAACTTGAATTTTCTTCTCTCCTACTGCATCTCCGCTCTTAAGCAGTGCAGCTCTTGGACACATGTTGAAATTCTGCAAGCCTTAGCAGCTCTTGTTTACAATAATGGACCTAAATGTCAGAAAGTGAGTTTACAAGCTGAGAGAAAGTAACCACAAAAATATTTGTACCCTTTTGCTGTTTCTGCTTTCTCTCCCTGCCCCCCCACCCAAAGAAAGAATAAAAAGGTATCATATTCTCAAATTGCCTTACCTTCCATGCTAAGATTAGATCCTATTTAAATAGTGACTGATATTTATGGAAAAGTCGAGTTTCAGCTGTGATAGGTGTGTATACCAATAATCAAGAGATAACAATGCTCTTCCCATGCCAAATACCTCTATACCTGCAGGCTGCAGCTGTAGGAACTGGCTTGAGCCAAAGGCACGCTATTAAAGAAGGGCACCAGACTTAGTCTGCAGACTAACCACCCTGGTATGCCTGTGTATCAGGCAGGAAGAACGCAGGGCTCAGCAGGCTCCATTGAGGATCCTGAAATTTATCCTGTAACCAGATCAGATCTTTAGTGTGCGGTGGGCTCAAAGCTATTTCAAAGTGGAGACTATCAGGTGTCAGTCCTGAGGTTTGTACGAAGCTCCTTGTTGCTGCAGTGTGACTGATAGTGTTTGATATGTTGAATTCTCCTGCTGTCACCAGCTCTTGGCAGCTTGCAGAGCGGTTTCTGCTGTCGGGCTGAAGCACGGAGTGGTGATGCTAGCAGTTTTGGAGCTGCCAGCTTGTGTGGGTTTGTAGCCTGTGTAACTGTAGCAGTTTGGTACAGCCGTTGTTACTAACCTAGCTTTATATCTGGGAAGAAAGCACAAACTGGGAATCAGTCTGAACTATGCTCACGCTCGATGCTTTCTTAATACAAAGTAGGAGAACTTTGGAAATTAATATTTTCATGTCATTTTTTTATAAACATAATCTTGTCTATGGAATCTGAAATTGCAGCTGACAAATTTTTTTTTGTAGCATAGATATGTTTAGCTACCAAACAGAGGAACCCGGAGGCTGAGGGAAGAGCACTGACCCCTAATGACTTTTGGTGGTTTATTTTAGTATCTCCCGGATTTGCTGGGCAAGACTGGGCTCTTGGTGCAGTTCAGTGATTCTGCTCAGCCAGACGTGGAACTCAGGAGGGCAGCAGTACGCAGCATGGCAAACCTGTGTCTCAGGTGCGTACAAGCCTCTTCAGATGGTGGAGTGGATGCTTTAGAAGATGTACATCTGACAGCATGGACAGGTGGTCTGCTCTGTTTGTGCTAGGAACAGCAAATTCAGGACCAGTAAGGTGTATATGCATGCATTTGAAATGTCAAACTTTAGCGCTCCAAGATATTGTTTCATCTGTGGATAAAACTGTAAACTCTGTCTTCCAGAAATAATGTTACAGAGGTTAGTTTAGGGAAGAAAAGAAAAAGTGTTGTGCTGTCTGGTCCCTGCAGTGATTCTTTGGGTTAATTTTGTATAAGAAATGGTCAGCTACAAGTTTTTAGAGTGATTGTCAGTTATTTTGCAATTCATGCATTTTTCCATTCCACGTGTAAATATGCTGATGCCACAGCAACATCAAATCTTCATTAGCTGCTATTTGGGAAGAATTTTGACCCAGACTGTGGGCAAGCAAGCAATTAATAAAAGCAATAGATATTTGGACTTGCTGCAAAGAGTTTTTTGGTTAATAGTTCCCCTGAACAGATGGCTTGTTTTTTATAAAAAACAAACAAACAAAAAACCCAAACACAAAAGCTTGGAATTTCAGCATTTATAGATTAAGTAGTTCTTCAGACTTCATGTAAATAAATACAACATCTGTCAGTTTGGCTCATGATGATTTTTCTATGTGGTGAGTTGGGATTGTTTAGCCTGGAGAAGAGAAGGCTCAGTGAGGATCTTACCAATGTGTATAAATACATGATGGCAGGGAATGAGAAAGACAGAGCCAGACGGTTCTCAGACACCAAATGGTACTTAAGGTAGCAAAGATGAAGTGATGCAGTTGCCCTCTCTCTTCATGCAGTGAGTCAAGTAGATATTAAAATGTTTCAGCACATTAATGTTGCCAAGACTTCATGGAAACTAGGGAAATGGCAAAAGTCATTCTAGGCCCTTTTCAATGCCAGATTTTGCCTAAAAAGCATTTATAAGCATGATGGCTTATTAAGCTGTGCTTGGAGAGTCGTTGTAATTGAGAAGGTGGCCACAGAAGCAGAGTAGGTGTAAGGCACACTATGATTGTACTAGCTCTTTGTGCAGGTTTCCTTTTGTTCCTTATAGTGGTAGAGCTGATCCCTTTCAAAGAGCCATCCATCTATCTGAAGCTGTGCTCTTCAGTCTAGCAGAGGGCTTGGATCCAAGTTTGTGTAACTTTATAAAGCTGTGGGACAGACTGTAATCCAACCATTTGTCTCCTGCTTTAATTCTAGTGTGCCTGGACAGCCATACTTAGATGAGTCCTACAGAAGTGTCTGTTTTCAAACTTTTCTAAGTGTTCTGCAGTCTTCAAAAACCTCTGATGTAGATGACATCACTTTTTGCATGGTAAGTGTGAGTCTAATTGCCTAGAATACTCTAATTAGGAAATTGTGCTGCTGGAATATTGGAATTTGCAATATATGAAATTTGGAATATTGTCAACTGAGATTTTGCTTAAATAGTCTAATTTTTTTTTTTTTTTTAATAAACATAAGTAACTGTCCCAGTAATCATGTTGAGCAATACCGTAATTGCCTAGAAGGTCACTTGAAAGATGCGAACCTTCAGGGTTTTGGGAAGGAGAAGCAAGTAATTCTGTGTTTTGGTTTTCAGTTACTGCAAAATGCACTGAAAGGTATCCAGTCGCTTCTCAATGGTGGGAAGATGAAACTAATGCAAAATGACCAAATTGGATCTCTTCTTGCAGTATTAAAGGTAAATACTTAAATCCACCTTGAGAAAGAGGCAGACACTGCAAGGTGCATGTTCCAGATGCTTGTTAAGTGTGAGACGGTAGGAGAAGATGAGAAAGAGGGAGCAGAGAAGCCTGAGCGTGGGGGTAGATGTAGTGTGAGATATAAAGAAAAAGACATTGAGTTTCTCTCACAGCATCTTAACTGCACTTCCCACAAAAGAATGTGAGAAAAAGATGGGAGGCTTGTTTTTTTGGACCTACTTAAAATCCTAGTTGTAGTTGAATTTCAGATGTTGCAGAGCTGTTACATAGTATGGGGAGAGGCAAGACCTGGGGGAAGGATCATAAGCCCAACTGAAAATTGATGAACACCTGAGTAAATATACAGTAAATCTTTGTGCATCAAAAAGGGAAAGAATGCTAACGTTTCTGTTACTTTCTAGAAATGCATGTTTCATGGACTGCCAGGATTGAGCATAGAAATGCCCACAGCCTTGTACCCGGCTCCATTACCTCAGTATGATAAAAGGTCACCCGTCAAACAGGAACAATCAGAACCGGCCACCTTTAAGCAGTCGGGGGTAAGTTGAAATTGTACTGATTCTACTGCATGCTCATTGTGCACATGTTTGTTGCTGTTGCATGTTACCTGACATGATATTAGTGGCTGACCGGCTCTTTTTGCTCTGACCGTGTGATACATTTCACATTCTTTGCTTTAAAGGTATTGATTATAAATCTCTGCACTGAGTAAAATTGCTTTGTAAACTCAGATGACGAGAACAAATGGCTCTGCAGAGATTGGTTTTCCTGAGTTAAGCTGTGTGCATCAGTTATTCATCTATAGCCAAGAATTCTTGGCCTGCAGGCATGGGATTGGTGCATGCAGACTAGCCAAAGCTTTTTATTTTATAAGTTACGTTTTCTCTCCTAATGCTTGTGCAATTGTTTGACTCTTTCTTAGGGAAGTCAAGTTCATCTAGAGACTGATTTCCCCCCCCCACTCCCCCATCTGTTCTGCTTAATCCTTCTACAGGTTATTTTTTAACCCTGTAAACATTATGGATTACCGATTATCTGAAAGACATTAGAGAGAATAAAGTTGTGTAGTCATGTTGACTTGTTTCTTTTTAGATGTTAAATAACCTACTGTAAATCTAAAGGAACTACAGAAGTATTTACTGTTCCTCTTCTTTAATCACTTTTGTGTGAAATATGATTTTTAAGTAGAAGTTTTCTTGGAAATCTTGTGCTTTACTGATGAAAAGGCCAAAGCTTAATTTTTGAGGCTATTCGGATATAAACTGCTTGCTTATGCTAAGGTATTACACTGATGTTACTGTTGCTACTAATGAGCAGAGTTTGCAAACTCAGATACTAAAGAAGTGATTGTTTCTGTATGTACAGTATTGCACATACATATAATTGCACTTACGTGCAGTACTGTTGCATCAGAAGATGCAAAATAGCTGTGATAACTCTTGGTTAAACTAAATCTCATCTAAAAACTCATTTAGAAACTTGTATAATTTGATGTTGATGTACTATACAAAGGGCATGATTTATTACATTAAACTCTGCTTTTATTCTGGATTAGAATTAGTTTTATTTTCAGATGAGACCTTTTCCCCTTAGATTTACAACTGCAAAATGTTTGGACATCTTTCTAGATATTATTTCAAAAGATTAAAAAAAAAAATAAATCATTTTTTGTCGAACAGAACCGAAGAAAGAAGTCCAAAGGGAAACAGAAGAAGGGAGAGTTTGGGGAAGAAGGAAAAGAAGGTTTGGGTGATGCAGGAAATGAATCAGTCCTTGGAGCAGACATGCTGAAATTACACTTGGGAGATGTGCAGAACAATCCTTGTTCAGATCCTCATACTCGTGCATCAGATATTGCACATGTGCCTGCTGGAAAGGATCACTTGTCTTCACATTATAATAGTTGGAAAAGAATCAGCAGCAGTGAGTCGGAATATTCTGATGCTGAAGGTGGAATACAGAGCAAAATGAGGTGATTGTTGTTCATGTAAACATAAAACATGGTAGAGGAGTGTACTGTTCATAAGAATTTAAGCTTGTGTATCATGTTAAAGCATACCTTTTGTTCCTGTAGATAGGGCACAAATTTTACATGTGTGCAGACTCTTACACTTCCACAGGATCCTAACACTTTGTTCTTAATCAAAACTGTTGAGGAAATCACTTTCCCTTTTGATTTATGTGGTGATACAAGAAAATTGGAAGGCAGTAACTCGTATTGGTTTGAAAGTAAATTTGTTCTTTCTCTTCCTGTTCTTAGTCTAAAAAATTTCGTGTCACAGCTAGCTGCTAGTAAGTGAAAGAGGTTAAGTTCATTAATTTTCACTGCTGCTATTTCATTAATCTTTTTGTTTGTTTTTTAAGATCTTATCAAGCCAATGTTCGTCAAGGGGCTCTAGCCTGTTTCCTCTCTGCTATAAAATCAATAGAAAAAAGAGTTCTTTATGGCTACTGGTCAGCATTTGTTCCTGATGCACCTGGTATTGGCAGCCCTCAGTCAGTGTCCTTGATGACTATTGCTTTAAAGGACCCTTCTCCAAAGGTGAGGCAGTTCTGAGTAGAAAAAGCATTATATTTTTCCCATAGTAATCTTAAGCATAGTAATCTTCAGTAAGTACTTTGGCTACTGTGTCTGTGTTGCTTGGTCACTGTACCGCAAGAAATAAAAGAGGATATATTGGTTAAGGAAACAAAGGGTTGGTTGTATACTGCTTAAAGTTATGAGAAAAGATAGTTGGAGTTGAATTTTCTCTTGCTGGAGAAAGAGACTTTCATAAATTTTAAAATTTGCCATCAGCTCGAAGGAGGTGTTAAAAGTGGGTAACAGAAATATTTTATCATTTCAGACCCGTGCCTGTGCTCTTCAAGTTCTCTCAGCCATCCTGGAAGGTTCTAAGCAGTTTCTTTCTGTTGCTGAAGACGCTAATGATCACAAGAGAGCTTTTACTCCCTTCTCTGTAACTATTGCTTCTAGCATCCGGGAGCTGCACCGCTGCCTGCTGCTAGCCCTGGTGGCAGAATCCTCTTCTCAAACACTGACACAAATAGTCAAGGTAACTGTACTGTAAATGTTTCAAATGCTGCCCAAGAGATGATAATTGGTCTCTAGATTAAGTCTTAAAGATTGGACAGAAATTGTTGTAGCTGTTGAGGACAAAGGTGGTGATGGGAAATAGACTGTTGTCATCTCACAAGGCTTCACTGACTGAGTCTTCCTACAGAGTCCTAGGGCTTCTTTTCTCTTCAGCAAAATTCTCTTGTTCCTGTATTTCTTTCGTGTAGTCTTTTTGGAGCTGAATGAACCTATGAAATGATTCTGAAGACTCAACACTGGCTTTAAAACTGGAATCCAAATTGGCAAAAAAAGCTTTCCATGGGCAATTGAAATTCCTTGGTCTTTATGCCAGGTCACAGTAGTTAAATACTTGTTCTTAGGAGCCAAGTTTTGGAGCAGATAATTGGGGCATTTGTTTTCAGGTGCCCTCTGATAATTAGCTGTCTAAATGACCTAAATTGCAAATGTAAAAACAAATCTTTTGGAGGCCAGGCTGACATTTTAACCACCACTCCATGTATGTTTTTTTATGTGTTTCAGTGCCTTGCAAATTTGGTTTCAAATGTACCTTACAGCCGTTTAAAACCTGGGTTGCTGACAAGAGTTTGGAACCAGATAAAGCCATACATTTGTCATAAAGGTTTGCATTCTGTTTGGCTGGAGCCTCTTTGTATGTGTTACATCGTAATTCAGCATCGGTTATTACAAGATAGTTGTGGATTCGCCCCCCCTCCCCACCCCTGTGCTTCATGAATACATAAACATATGTATTGCAGTCAAATTATATGTTATGATCTGTCTTCTTTGAAAACTGCTGAAGAAGCATGCTGATGTGTCAGTGAGATGCTAACGGATTAGCTTTGTCTTCCCCCACCCTGTTCTTTCTTGCAGATGTCAATGTTCGAGTTTCTAGCCTCACATTATTAGGGGCTATAGTATCTGTCCAAGCACCTTTACCAGAGGTGCAGTTACTTTTGCAACAGCCCAGTTCTTCAGGGCTAAATAATAGTGGTAGCGCAACCCCTCACCGTTTTAATTCTTCTGAGCAGTGGAGAAAAGCACTCTCCTCAGAAGGGGAGCCTCCAGATAATCCAGCAGGATGTACGTCTTCTGAACCATGCTGGCTTCTCCGTCTCTGTGTTTCCATCATCGTTCTGCCCAGAGAGGATTCCTATTCTGACAGCGATGCTAACTTTCCATCCTTTTCCAGTGTTTACGAACCGTGTCCCCTTCGACTAGAATCCTTACAGGTGGGGATGAACAGTTAGCTTGTAAAATGAACAGCTTGGTACAATATCAAATAGCCTCATGTCAGCCAAGCCTCAGTTGTGGGCTGCCTTTGCTCCTGGCTCTTTCACTGAGATTTAGGCCAACGCATTTGCTACTGCAGGATGTCTGAGCTGCTGTGACTGAAAGAGCAGTAACATTTTGATTCCGCACCTGTGGCCACAGCATAACTGTCCCATAGTAAACCTGTTGCAGCAAGGTCATCTGCCTGTGATTTTTGTTACCTTCGTTATTTTTAAATATTACTTGGTTGTGTGTACTGGCATCTGGTGAAGGCTGTGAGTCTTCCCCATGCAAACTCCTCCATACAGAATTTAAAGTTTTGCTAGAAAACTGTGGGGAAGAACCTTGCAGTCAAAGAACAGTCTGCAAGGAGCTATGGAGTGATGCTGGTATAACTAAAGGAGTACCTGTGAATGTTGAGAATTGGCCTTGTTTTTCTTCATGTAACCACAGAAAATAGTAAGATTTTGTAATGTGCATCCGAAGGAGTCTCACTCTTTTTCTGGAACAATGAATATTTGTTAAATCCAGCTTCACGGAATGCAGCAGCAGTATTACAGGAGATACAGAATGTGTTGCTCTTATAGGCACTCTCGCTTAGTTTTTTAGCTGCAGGAGACCTCACAGTAAATAATTCATCGTGTTGCTACCTGATAGTGCTTTTGTGGCCCTTTTTTGAACAAGATAGTGGAATAGGGAGGTTTTTAATTAGCTGTAGTATTCTAGAAGTTGTGCTGCAAGGCGTATCTGTTACATCAAGTTTAGTATAGGGACCCAGTGTTAATTAGCCCATTAACATCCTCTCTGTCTGTATTTGGGGTATTTTGGTTTAATAGAAGGAAAAAATGCTGAATGGAATCTCTTTGTGTTTAGGTGTTGGCTCTTCTTGTAAAAGGTTATTTCCCTATGGCTCAGAGCTATTTCCTAGAACTTGGAGAAGTGGCTTGCAGATGCATGGAAGAAATGGATCCATCCATTCAGCTTCATGGAGCCAAAGTAAGAGCATGGGGAAACATCAACATTGTTTTACAAAGTCAATTTTATCTATTAGTGTGCTTTGCAAATACAGCTGGGTAGTGATGAATATTCATAGCATCTATGTGTGTGTGTGATGTAGCACACCGTAAAGGAGCTCTTTGGGAAATGCAGTAGACTGACACTTTGAGAAATGCACCTTCTGCTTCCAGTCTTGAAATCTTAGCAGAATTTTGTTGCTCTCCTGAGTCACCAGGAAGCTTGGGATATGCAAGGACTATAACACTGGCTCTTCCCTGATTTAGCATCAGCTGATGCAGGAACTGTAGTCTGTCACCCAAAGGAAAGCTCAGGGAGATGTCCTCTTTGCATGGCAATTTGTTGCGCTGTTCTAGCTGGAGACTTTATGTAAGAAAGGCATTTCCTCTAATTTCTAATCTAGCAGGGACAGAATAGAGTCCAAAACAATACTGAATCTTTTATTTTTGTTCCCTGGGTAAGTAAGTATAGTCCTAGGTAAAGGTTGCTATAGTTCCATGGTACTTGAGTCATGCCTGATAAAGACCTAGTTGCTTTTTATTTCCTTGCAGCTTCTGGAGGAGCTGGGCACAGGGGTACTACAGCAGTACAAACCCGATTCAGCCGTTGCCCCTGATCAGAGAGTACCTGTCAGCATGGTAAGTGTTTGGGCTCCGTCTGAGATTCCATTTCACTAAGCTTCCTTTATTGAACTCTGCAAAGTCACTGGCATGGATACAGATAAATCAACTGCAGGAAAGCAGAAAGGGACTCGGTACCCTGTGGCTTTATAGGTGCTGATATGTACAATTTTTGTAGACTTCCTGCATTGTTTTGGCATTTGCTTTTGTCTGTAGGCAGGTGTGTTCGGTTTTGGTGGGTTTTTTTTCCCCTTTTTACATGACCCCTTTACAATGCCTCTCTGCCTTTTCTCATCCCTCATCTTCCTGCCTGCTCTAAGTTCAGAAAGCTGGAAGAACAGCGCCAATTTTGCATGTGTCATTACTGCTGCATAAAACCTAGACATACACTTTTAGAGTTTTGGTGAATTTGCATTGTTATGAGAGCCAGCCTATATGTTCTGGCTGCTCGCAAGTGCGGAGAGAGTGGCTAGAACCATAATATATGTGGTTTCAGAAAAATCCATTGTTTGAGGCTGTTTGTTGTATAAGTTTGCGGAAGCTGAGGAACTGGCATTCTAGCAGTAGAGTGGGCCTGTTTAAGTCTTGCTTCTGTGAACAGAAGGCAAGTTTAAAAATTTCTTTGGCATATGCCAAGTTTTGAGCCCATTACCAGTGACCCTACAAGATAGGAAATGTGTCCAGTAGCACCAGGTTCCTGTTACTTGATACGAATGTAAATTGTCAGGCAAATGAAAATACCCAGCTGTGTGGATTCAAGAATGGAATCATTACTCTACCTAATGCAATCTAATCTGAGTGAACGTGGCCTTGAGAAGGAAACAAACAGAACTTGGTGAATAAGTACTTGATAGCAGTACTAAAATGTCTTTAAAATGTTTCTGAATGCTAAGTATTTTAGGCTTCCAAACAGTTGCAGTCACTTTCACCTGTGATTATGCTACCTGCTGTAAGTGTGTCTTAAAGATGATCATAGGAAAAGACAATCTATTATAGAACTTAGGCATAATTGCTGAGTTTAAGTAGGTAAACCTGGCTGCTTCTTTTGTAGGCTGTAACTTTCTGGACTATGATGCTAAATGGCCCTTTACCTGGCACTCTTCAGAACTCTCCACATGCGACTCTTCAGACAAGCGCCTGTGATGCCCTGTCTTCTATCTTGCCAGAAGCTTTCAGCAGTCTGCAGGTGAGAGAGCACTCCTTTAAGCATGGCATTTTTACCTGTTGATGATTTGTTCTTGTCTACCAGATTACAGTAGTGTAAAGCCTTTTAAAACTTGTAAGGAGAGGTTAGAGGAACCAGGATTTTTCTTAACATTCTGAACAAGTTGTCACTATTGAAGACTGGAAAAGGCAATGTTGGGAGTAATTAGTCTGTCAAAACAATTAAACTGTGGGTCACAGAAGCTGTTTGGCCCTGCCATGAATACTCAGCCTTGGTGATGATGGATGGGAGATGGAGGGCAAGAATCTCCTTGCATGAGGGAGGGGTGAAGGGCTGTTATTTTGCTGGTTAAGTCTTTGAACAGACAGCTGAGCTAACAACTATGAACTGACGTCGTTCACGAATTTGCATGCATGTTTTTTCTTTTGGCTGGCTTTTAAAACACTGAACTGTGGTGATTGCCCTGGCAGAAGCAAACAAATGTGTTGGCCTTACTCTCCTTTTGCAACATGAAATATGCTTTTGAACATGAAAGCCTTGGCAGTGTGTCACCACTGCATTGTGCAGCTCCTTTTATGTCACTGTGCCCTTCTTGATGGGGAGTAGTCTGCCAGATCTCATTTGCCCAGGAATTGCTAGTACAGCAGTATCTCTGGAATTCTCCGTCTGGTTTCTCCAAGTACAGCATGTACTTTATCACTCTGTACTTTGATCCCATACACTCTCTTGTCCCTGTGGCCATGTGGGGTCAAGTCAGTGCCCACTCTGACCCTTTGCTCTGATGAAACAAAGATCTTTGTCATGGGTTGGTAAACTGACAATCTGCCCAGGATGAACTTAATCTGCCTGTTTGTCCTCGTTAATGAAGGGGAAAGAGTGAAGTAAGTCAGGAAAAAGCAACTGATCCAGTCTGGTTTACCTCTGATGGGCCATGCCTTCTGCATTTGGATGATAGTTAATATTTTGGTTTCCTTTGTGGTCTTATCTAACAGCAACAAGATCATGTTTGCTGGAAGCATTCCGGTTTCCTGTGTGGCACCCCAAAATGCCAGTCAATTTACTTAAATAAAAGGATATGCTCTGAATGGTAGCTTTTATAGGTTCCACATATTAGGCTCTCTCAGAGTATTTGTCAGTTGTCTGTCTTTGTGGGACTGAGATCTTTTCGGTTTCTCTCTGTTGCTATGACTGCTTATTGTTGCAGAATGACCAGCAGATACTGTGCGTCACTTTGCTTCTTGGCCTGAACCACAGTGAGAACCCACTGGTAAAAGCGGCTGCCGCACGTGCGCTTGGAGTCTACATCCTCTTCTCTTGCCTTCGGCAGGTCAGAACTGGCCTATTTTTCTTATTTTAAGCCATTTTATAATGGGTTTGATGAACCATAAGATGTGGGACATGAGTTCTTTTGGAATGAATTGGCCTTCCTTCTTGCTTTTGGTCTGTAGTGTGTATATAGCTTTTCCTTACTGTCTGCAGACCTGCTCTTGCCTTGTGTGGTGAACAGAACCAGTGCAGTTTTAAGTGAGATGAAGCAGAAGCCAGAGTGCCTCATAAGTGAGAGCAAAAGGAGGGAGGTCAGGATCTTCCCCAAGCTCTCAGAGACAGAAGTGGGAAAGGCTAGGTTGGAACAAAGGAGCTGCAAGAGATGAGGTAGAGCTGGGAAGAAGGGAACAGCTGTACAGTGCTCTGTAGAGTTTAACATGTTTTTAACGTGAAGGCTTCAGTTTTGCTTAAAACTAAGAAGTAAAGCTTATTTAGAGAAAAATGCTGTTTTGTTTCCACAAAAAAATTGATCTTAGCTTGGCTGAGCTGGAAGACTCTGTAGTTTTTTGTGATGTGGCCTTAAATGAGTGATTGTAATAAAAATATTAAGCAGTAGCTGACATTGAGATTTGATTCCAAAATATTTGGAACGAAAATCCTTTACCATAGGCAAGGGGATGAAAATGAAATGTAGTGTGCCATAGAAGAGAAGATTAGACAGGCAGCGCAAGAGGGGGTTTGGAGAAGCAATTACTTTCCTAAGAGGGGGATTTGATGAGTATAAGATTGGCAGGCCAGATAATTATGTTAAGATCCAAAGTAACTAAAGCACCAATGCAATTAAGTAATACATTGAAACCTTTCAGCAACAGCTACCCAAGAGAGTGGTGAACTTGGTCAGCATGCAGGCTTAGACTGTTAATTAAAGATCAAAAAAAGCTGAACAGGGAGCACAAACAGGTTAAAAGTTGTCACCTACAAAAAGTAGAGTATATGAATAGAGCTGGCCCCTGTGCAGGTATCATTTTCCCTAGAAAGGACAGAATGTATATGTTACTAAGGAAATCACCTGAGTTTTTAAAACTTTCTAACTTTGCAGCAGTTTTTACTTTAATAGGATGTGATGTTTGTGGCAGACACAGCAAATGCCATTCTGAATTCCCTCCATGACAAGTCTCCGAACGTCCGTGCCAAAGCAGCTTGGTCCCTGGGCAATCTTACAGACACTCTGATCATCAACATGTACGTAAGCACGCCTTGGCCTGTGGAACTCCTCTTTCTGCCCATATTCCCGTAGCATCAGACAGAGGGTACTGATCTACTTAGTATCAAAAAAGCCAAAATTTGGCTTGGATGCTTCTTTTTAACCACTCTTCAGCCTGTGTGTCTACCAGTGTATGACACTGTATTATAAGTATCCCGTATCCATCGGGGGTTGAGTTCTACTAAACTGCTTGGGTTTAGGTCTTTCTAATCATTACTTCTGAAGTATATTCCGGGTTTACTTTTCAGTTTTGTATTTCTTGTATGTTGGGTTGTGTAATTGCATGTTCCCTGGTTACTTTACTTTTAACATAACCCAGAAGTAAAATTAATAAATATTTAACACTTCCACAAGCCAAAGACTTAAGGAAGTCTAACCTACTGTTACATTTTTAACAAGAGAAATAGTTATCATATATTCCTGCTACAGAATTGCCTCTGAGCAATTCATTGCCCTCTGTTTTTTATTACAGACTTAATGCATTGCTAACCAGCTTTCTTGCATTGATAGTTGGGTTTTAAATTAATAAACATAGTGGTCACATGTAGTAAGGCCTGCCTTACATATTAGCTTCTAAAGAGTGAAGGTTGTTCATACGCCTTTATAAAGGATAGTATCCCATCTTTGGGGTTGGATCATCTGAGCTAGCCTTTCACAGTGTGATTCTTCTCCTAGGGAAACAATGGGACAAAGTTTTCAAGAGGAATTTTCGGATCTCCTCCTGTTGAAAATGTTACGGTCTGCGACTGAAGCATCCAAGGACAGAGACAAGGTATGACTGAGGGGAAAAGAGGGTGGAGTTATCATACTGTAGTTAATTCTTGCGTTTTTAATTAAAAAAAAAAAAGGAAAAAAAGGCACCAGTTACTTTGGGGCGTTTTGCCCCAACGGACAGGGACCTGCAGCTCAGCATCCTCTCTTGAGGGCTGGTGTTTGGAGGTTTCCGATGTTGTTTGACCTGCAGGGCACTTGATTGCGCTTTTCCACAGTGCAGGTTCTGTTTGGGGTTTTTTTGGTTTTGTTTTGTGGTTTGTTTTTTTGTTTTGTTTTGTTTGTTTTTTGTTTTGCTCTGGGTTGTTTTGTTTTTTCAGCGTGACCATTTGCAGGGAATGATCTTTCTGGTGGCATTTAGGAAGTTACCATCTGATAAGACACCATAAGTCTGATTCCAGATGGGCTTCTTGTTGGGTCTGAGCGTGATTTCGTAGCAGGCTTGACAGAAGCTTTGCCTATAAGCTGAAAGCCAGAATGTTTCTTTTGTGTATGTGTGTTCCAGGTAAAGAGTAATGCAGTCCGGGCCCTTGGGAATGTGCTTCATTTCCTTCAACCATATCACATAGCGAACCCCAGGTTTAGGGAAGCCATTGAGGAATCTCTTCAGGCCCTTATTTCTACTGTTCAGAGTGAGGCCACTATGAAAGTGCGCTGGAATGCTTGTTACGCACTGGGGAATGTATTTAAGAACCCTGCCTTGCCACTCGGTGAGTAACTTGTCCCACTGGCTTTGGATTTGTACAGCGGGTTGTGGTTTTGGTAAGAAGGTCTCCATTACAAATGTATTGAGGAAGTGGGGAGAAAGCAAACTGAGCTGAATCTTGCTGTCAGCTTTCCCAGGGCTCTTGCCGGTGAAATAGGCTCAGACCTTGCGAATGCTGATACAGGCATAACTGTGCTGTATTTGGTTGGATCTGTCGTGTTAGAAAAGAGTGTGAGGATGGGATTATAGCTGTGAATAGATGCAAAATGTCACTTTTCCTCTTGCAAAACTTCAGAAGATTAACTTTTTAAACTAATTTTTCATTTCATAACCCCTGATTCTCTCATTTAGACTGGAATAAATACAGTAATGTAAGCCCATTAAATATTTAGGAGATACATTTACAGTTTTGTATATTTTCACTGATTGAAAAGGTGGGTTTTTTGATTTTGGTTTTTTTTCAGGAGAGGCTCCTTGGACCACGCAAGCATATAGTGCACTTTCCTCAGTAGTGAAGTCCTGCAAGAATTTTAAAGTCCGAATCAAATCAGCCATGGCCCTCTCCATCCCTAGCAAGAGAGAATGCTATGGCTCCACTGAGCAGTTCTGCCAAATCTGGAGTGCCTTGGTGATAGCCTTGCAGAAGAGTGAAGACACCGAGGACTTTCTGGAATTCAAGTACAGTGCCAGCCTCAGGACACAGATCTGCCAGGCTCTGCTTCATTTGTTAAGTCTGGCAAGGAGCACAGACTTGCCAGTCATTTGGGAAACCATAACAGAAAATGGGGATGCAATCAAATCCTATGTGTTGCAATATCTGAAATCGGGAGTTGAAGAAAATGAAGCAGGAATGCACACAGACTTGTACGAGAGGGAGAGAGTATTAAAAGGAGCTATCGAACATCTCGGTGGGATAGAGAAACAGCTGGAAGGCAAAGCTAGGGTAAGAGTGTCTGCTTATCTAGAAGATGTCTTGACAAACCATGCCAATGCCACTGAATTAACAGAGGCTTAGAAAGGAGCACCTGTTTCAGTGACCAATGACTTACACTACTGACTGGACCCAGAGAAGAAACACTGCTTTCATTTACATGGGGCATCCAAAAGAAAAGTTTCTTGTTGTTGGTATTTGTCCTGGTTTCAGCTGGGATAGAGTTAATTGTCTTCCTAGTAGCTGGTACAGTGCTATGTTTTGAGTTCAGTATGAAAAGAATGTTGATAACACACTGTTTTCAGTTGTTGCTAAGTAATGTTTATACTAAGTCAAGGATTTTTCAGCTTCTCATGCCCAGCCAGTGAGAAAGCTGGAGGGGCACAAGAAGTTGGCACAGGACACAGCCAGGGCAGCTGACCCAAAGTGGCCAACAGGGTATTCCATACCGTGTGACATCACGTCTAGTATATAAACTGGGGAGAGTGGGGGTGGGGGATTGCCGCTCGGGGATTAATTGGGCGTCGATTGGCAGGTGGTGAGCAATTGCACTGTGCGTCATTTGTATATTCCAATCCTTTTATTATTACTGCTGTCATTTTATTAGTGTTATCATTATCATTATTAGTTTCTTCTTTTCTATCCTATTAAAGCGTTCTTATCTCAACCCATGAGTTTTACTTCTCTTCCCCATTTTCTCCCCCATCCCACTGGGTGGTGGGGGAGTGAGTGAGTGGCTGCGTGGTGCTTAGTTGCTGGCTGGGGTTATACCACGACAGTATTAAACAACTTATTTCAAACTTAGTAAAAATCACTCGTGATGCCTGATGAAAAGATCTGCAGAACTTATTTTATTTTTTATTTTTGTGTTTAGTAAACTGTTATGTTGTTGTCACTTGGTTTTGTTTGCACACTTAACTGTTACAGTGTTACCTTGTGGAAAACAAATGCCTTTTCCTTCTTTGTATGTTTTATAAAAACAGCCTCTTCTCTCAGCTTATCTAAAAGCATTTTGTTACAATTGCTGCTGTATTCAAAATCATGTTTGTAAAGGAGGGGTCTGGAAGAATTGTGTTTTTCTGAGCACTGCAAATGTTGTCACTCTTGTGTTCCTGCAATAAACCCAAATATGCCAATATTTGAATAATAGCTTAGAGCAAACATGCTTTGCCTTTACCCATCTGTGTTCCTGGTGTCTTACACCTGGCCTGCAGCCTTCACTCATCCTGTCTTCCAAAAACTCGACATTCCTCAGTTCCAGGTGGATGGTACTGTGCTGTGTGAGCCAGAAAATCCAAAGCGGGACCTCTGAGGCTGGAATCTTGACTCCAAGCAGTGCTCCCCACGGGCCTTCGTTGCCTTTCTGTGAGAGGGGCAGTCGTGTTCTAAACCCCATGGGGGTTTGTTTCTATTTCTGAAGTTGTGTCCCCTTCCTTCACGATGATGTTACTTACTCTCTGTTTGCTGTGTGCTCACTGTGCCGGTGGAGGACTGAGCTCTCTGATGTTGCTGGGGACAGATCAATGCCTCCAGGAATGAGCCGGTTTGTGGGGCACTTTGAGAGTTAAGTGCCTGCTGTCCTAACCTCTGGGTGGATGTTTGAACAGAGCTCAGTGCAAGCCCTGGCTGTCATAAAAGCTCTTTGGGATACAAAATTTGTCTGCTTTGTTTTTCCATCCTCGCCGCTGGTTTCAGTGGGGCTCAAGTAGTGTGAGTATCCGAAACCCCTTCAGAGTAATGGAGTCTTTTGCTGGATATGTGGGGCCAGTTGGGGCTATAAAAACTTCTTTGAAGTCTCACTTGGCTCCTGAAACACCTAAGGGCTTTTGAGGAAACATGGACTTGGGCTCTGAGCAGCACTAAGCGAGCAATAGAGGCAAACAGAGAGCTGGAGTGGCTGGATGAAAAAGCAGCGAGTGTCCCTGCTGAGCACGCTAGCAGCCTGCCCGCAGGAGCCTGCCTGCTCGGCGTTTGAAGCTTTCTGAATAACCACATCCAGTATTTCAACCCATATTGGGGAACCTGCAGCTTTTCTCAGACAGAAAGATAAGAATATCTTTTATCTTTGGGAGCAAAAGTAGTTTCTGGGTAGCCTTGGCTGAAGGTGGCATAAGCAGTTTTCTGCGTGTGAGCTATCCGTTTAGCGAAGAGCCCAACTCTTTACTGGATGCTAAAGCAGAAAGGTTTCAGCTGAGCCTGTTCCTCAACATTTGGTTACTATCTCCCTCAAGACCAGACGAGAATAAGGCAGTGTGTCTGAATGTCAGATAGAGTTCATCTGTGAAGGAGCTGAATCAGGTATGGGCCGGGTGTTGCTGGCTGGTTGTGCACACCGTTAGCTGCTCTCTTCTGTAGCTGTTTTCCCCAGGGCTGCTCGCAGAGCCATCGACGTGACCCATCACCACGTTACAACAATAAAGACTGATGCTGGTTTGGGTAGAGAGTCTGGGTTTTGTGGTCTCACCCCCATGCGCTCATTACAAACCTCCTGACTGTGAAGGGGACGTAAGATGGGTCTTGCATTGATGCCAGCCTGTCATCCTCCTGTAGAAAGATCCTTTTCCCAGCTTCTGGACACCCTTAGCTGACCCTCTGGGTTAAAAACTCTGTGTGTGCACAGGGGAGAACAGAGAGGCGGGAGCTGGTTTTCGCTCTGGCTGGTGGAACTAACACCATCCAGCATCTTCCGAAGATGAGACAAACGTCATCGCCCCTGCTTCCCGTCAGGTCCAGCAGGCAGGAGCAGCCCACAGCTGCATCACCTCTCCTGCTGGCACGTGGGCATTGCTGGGGAGTCACAGGTTATAGGAGGATGGAGGGGGCAGCTGCGGAGTTTCAGGCCTAATTTTTGCGGGCAGCAACTAAAAAGCTGCTGGGTGGGCACCGGGATCAGTCATGGGGGTCAGCTGTGCTTGGCCCCAGCCCCCTGGGCTATTTCTGCTGCTGTTGGTTGTACCTGGGTGCAGTCCTGAGGGTGCTGGAGCAGAGCCGGGATGGGCTCTCCTGCCTGATACCAAGGTCAGTGATGATTTTATGTGTCCCTTTAGTGTCAGACGCTTGTTTTTGGTGCCTGGCAGAGCAGCATGGGCTGTGCACGCCTTGTGCCACCTGCTCGCCGTCAACGAGAGCAGCGGGGGCGGACGCAGGCTCCGTCCTCGGCCAGGGACTGGTGAAGCACGAGGTGCTCGGGGCCGGCAAAAGGCAGCACCTTCCCCACCCCAGCCAAGGTTTTATTGTCCTGCCTCTTTATTGTTGTGTTTACAAGCCAGGCGCTTTATAGGTTTTCCTATGAATAGTTTCAAGGAGAAGGTAATTACCTTATCACATGCAGGATGATTTATAGCCAAGGTGGCAAGGGACATTCAAGCTCCACATCGGCTCCGTTTGAAAGACAATCCGCCCGTTCTTCCATGCGGGGTCACTGGGTGGGTGAAAACAAAGGGGCTTTAGTGCCCGGCCCGCCCGGTCCCAGCACCGGGACGTCTCCTGTGGCCAAGCCCCGGCGAGTTTTGCCGTGCTGTGCCGATGGCGATCGTGCCCACCCGCCGCCCCGTGGGTTTCCCTGGGGCTGCCCACGGTGGTGGGCTCTGCCCTGCGCGACCCGGCAAGGAGCGACCCAGGGAGGTCAAAGCTCAGGTTGTAAAGCCTTTTAGGTTCGTTACGTTACCTGGATCAGTAAATACACAGCGTGCCGCCCGAGAGGCCGCGTGGCTTCGTGCGGCACTGACGCGCCTTTCGGCGGGACCGGGCTGGTGTGTGCGGCGATGTCTCGGTGAACTGAAGTGATTGCTTTTGTTGGGCAAAACTCCTCGCCGGTGGCACTTAAGCCGGCTTGCAGCGGCTGTGGGGGGACAGGGACACATCTCCCCTTGTCTTCACGTAGTGATATCCCCCCCCCCCTTTTGACCCCCCAGAAACTCTCTCTTTCTGGACTCTGAGCAAAACCAAGAATTCCCCTCTTGCCTCTCGGCTCTGGCTCTCTGAGCAGCCCCTTCTGAACCGGGAACACCAACGACCCGGCTGGCCCCGGTCACCGAGCCACGAGGTGGCACCACGTCCCCGGCCACCGCCGAGCGCCGTCCCGCCGGCGTGGGCTCCCCACGCGGGGCAGCCACGGGCAGAGCATCCCCTGGCACGGGGGTGTGGGGGTGTGTCTCCCCTTGCAGGGTGCGGGGGGGGTCCCCTTGCAGACCATGGGTGCCCGTCCATCCACCCACCCACCCGGGACTGCAGCACCCACAGCCCACGCCGGGGAGCTGCCCTCGAGCGGTGTGATCCAAGCAGGGTGCAGGCATGTTTCTTCGTGTAATAAACCCAATCTTTCTTCTTTCGGGTGGGACCGATGGTTATCGCCCCCGGCTCTTGTTAGGGGGGGGACCGCAGGGTGGCGGGAGGGCTGCGATGCTCCTTGGGATGCGGGCGCTCCCTGCGGACCCCGGGGACCCAGCCTGCGCGTGGCCTCACTGCTGCCCACCGCCCCGAGTATGGGGAAGGAGGATTCCTCGCCCCGTGGGACCTTGGGGTGCAGTGGGTCGCAGCAGCGGTGCTGAGCACTGCGGGGCCAGGGCTCCGGCGGCAGGAACAGCACACGGGGACATGAGCAATGGGGTGGCGGAGGCAGGGGTGACTTCCAGTGGCGGGGTCAGAGGGAAGAGGCTGATGCTCAGTTCATGCCCGCTGTCTTTCCCATAAAAAATGGCTCCGCGCTATCTTGCAGGCCGTCCCTCCCTAGGACCCGCTAATTTGGTGATTTTTATCCTGTCTGTTTTCCTTTTCTCCCCTCTGCTCCGCTGCAACCTCCCGTCACTCCTCCTCCGGGCGGCACCGGGGTCGTCGCTGATGGATGGCCCCCGGCAGCGCCCGCGGGGAGGAGGCGATGGCCGGCGAGGGGGCTTTCGGCACGGCCTTCCCCGACCCCCTCCGGTGGGTCTGACCTGGCCGTTCCACCAACCTCTGCTCCGAGGTGATGCTCTTCCCCAGGGCTGAAAGCCCGTTGCGGGAAGGGTCACAGCGGGAAGGGTGCAGGCGATGGGGGAAGGAGCGCAGAAGAAAACCATGAGGCACCCCAGGGCACGGGCAGCACCAAGCAGGGATGGGGATGGAGATGATAAAGGGGCTCGGAGAGCCCCAGGGTGTCCCTAGGGTCATGCCTCCCTGTGCCACCCCCGGGAAAAGGGAGCCCACGCTGCCCTGGAGGGGTCCTCTGGCTCCCCAGGAGCCCAGACT